GGACGATGATGACGGTGTTTATTGTCGCACCCCCGCGATCTGAGGCCATATACCAAGCGAGTTGAGGACTCAGATAGTTCAATCAACCGTCCAACCATCGAGCAAGGAGTTCAGAGATTGTTGACAGGACTCAAGATTCTTAGGAGCGAACGACTGCCTAGGCCAGTGTCTTAACATTGATTTAGTGGAGCGGTGCAACGCTCCCATCCATTGTCCTATATCGCCTATCCCTCATCTTCTGAAGGCCTGCCTCTAATGCACCAAATGGTCAAGTCTGCAGAGTGCCGCGACGCTGCAGAGATGCGGTAATGGCGCTGCAGCTGGTGAGCTCCAGTGTGGAGGAAGTAGGAGTATGTCAAGAACGTAGAACTTTCTCCTTCGTCTCGAATGTTCCTTGGTACTAGTCGGATGACATACGGTACATATTCGCCAGCCAAGCTGAAATGAAAAACTGCCCAAGTCTTCAACAATACATTCACGCAACGCCTAGTATAGCATCGACAGCCTCCCCCCCCCCTTCTTTCTCTGTACACCTCCCAACTTACTTATTATCCCCCCACCTCAAACGCCGGAAAATGCCGCCGCACAACCCCATCCAACTGCCGCAAGATCACCGGTTTCACGAAGTACTCATCCCCGCCGGCCTCCGTCGCCGCCGTCTTATCCGCCGGCGTATCCTGGCCCGTCATCACGATGATCAACGACCGCGCCCAGTCGTTCTCCTGCTCCCATGCCCGGATCTGTCGCGTCGCGTCGACGCCGTCGCAGACGGGCATTTGGAGATCCATGAAGATGAGCTCGATCGGCGGGAGGGCGGTTTCGTTGTCGGTGCCGGGAGACTGGCGGCGGCGGCGCGTGAATGTCTCGACGGCCTGGACGCCGTCGGTTGCTGTCAGATAGGGGAGGCCGCGCTTCTTGCAGTACATTTCCATGATGCGGAGGTTGACGACGTTGTCGTCGACGATGAGGGTGGTTGGGCGGGAGGATGTACGGGTGGCGAGGGGGCGAGGAACATGTCCGGTCTCTTTCTCTTCTTCGGAGACCGTCTCAGGGGTGAAAATGATGTTGTCGGGTTGGGAGTCTGAGTCTGAAACTGAATCGTCGTTGGGCCGTTTCAGGTGCATGGGAAGGACTGCTGAGGTAGACGGCTCTGCCGATCGGATCTCCGCTGCGAGCGCGTCGGCTCGTTCGAGGACCCCAGCCAGTGTCTGCGCTGAGAACGGTCCCCGGGTGTGGATGAGGTTCTTGGTAGGCTGCTGCTCGAGAGGGACTGGCGGGTCGAAATCGGCCGGCAGGCCCAAGGCGAGAGAGATACAGACCGTGTCTGCCGGGATCTGGGACAGACGCGTGCGGTGTTCCTCGGTGTCTGGGGCAGGGTCGACGATGACGAAGGAACCTTCGAGAGAGTCGGATGGCGTAAATCCACTGCGCGTGAGTATCGACGCGAAGTGGTCGCATAACGACGTCGATATACCAGAAGGCCTGGGCCTCGGCCCAGCGCGAGTCGGAGACTTCAGGATATAGAAACTCCGGGGAAGACTCTTCACCTTCGAGGCCAGCGACGGCGGAGTTCCGTCCGCCTGAGAAGCACACTCCATGTCCCGGAACGTAGCCCGAAAGTGTGAGCCCCGACCAATAGCCGACGACATCAACGCCACCGAGCCGTGCAGAAGCGAGGCAAACCTGGATGCCAGCGTCAGACCCAGTCCGGCGCGCGCGGAATGCGCGTCGACCTTCTCGTACGCTTCGAAGATGCGCCGTTGATCGTCTTGCTGAATCCCCGAGCCCGTATCCCGGATGTCGATGGTCAACTGCTTGGATTCGGGATCGACAGTGGAATGCACGGAGACGACCCCATCCGGCGTGTGTTGGATCGCGTTGTAGACGATGGGGAGGAGACTGTCCCGGAGGACATCGATGTCCATCCAGAAGGTCTCGAAGCCGGGAGGGACGTCGTGCGTGAAGAAGAGGGCACAACTATACCGCATGTCGCCGATGGTCAGGGTCGAGATTGCCGTGTGTAGCTCGGTCTCGAGCTTGTCTATGCTGTGCATGGCGTAGTGTCGGTCGCTGAGGGCGATGTCGACCCACCGGTTCAAGGTAATCATGTTATTGACGATTGAGACGAGATCGCGACCGCCCATCTTGATGATGTTAAGATACTTGGAGTATTCAGCGAAATCTATCAATCCGGTCTTCTGGACGGTCGTTGCCGTTGGCGCCGCGAGGGCGTCATCAGTCGAGCCGCCTCCCCAAGCGGCTTGAAGCTCCTCAGCGAGGAGATCCGCGGAACCCAGGATTCCATGAATCGGCGTGCGCAGCTGGTGCGAAATCCCGCGGAGAAATTTTTCTTTCGCATTGATGGCCTCGACCAGTAGACGTTTGCGCCACATTTGCGAGATCAGGCCCGCGCAGCTCTGCACGAACCACAAGTCGACGTCGTCAAATATGTGCTGAAACTCTTTGGTTCCAACCATGAGCAACGAGGGGCCATTGGCGCTCTCGCAGGGGGCGGCCATGACGCGGACAGTCTGTGTCGTAGGAAGAGGCCGGTGGTTCGCCTCCGCGATCAGGGCATCGAGGTACTCGATATCTTCCCAGAGGCCGCCTTCGAGGTCGGAGATGAAAACCGGGTCGCGTGCTTCCATCTCGACATGCGTTGCTGTCGTGGGCTGCGACTTGATGACGGCCTTGGGATAGATCGTCTTGAGTATCCGAAAGACCGGATCCGCCGAGACCCCCTTTTCGAGTTCCATCCGCGCCGTCGTGAGAAGGTCTGACATGCGCTGCCGTTCGCGCTGGCGTCGTGCTCGGGTACACTGCACGAGATCCGAGACGACCCAGTCGGCTAATCGCACCAGCGCTTGCTGCTGGTCTTTCGTGAGCGGGTCCTCCGCGGTACTCGAGGCCACGCAGAGCGAACCGAGGCCAACGGTGACTCCGGACTCGTGCTGCAGGCGGAGCGGCACCCCGGCGTACGCGTAGAGGCCGCCTTGTTCGAGGTATGGGCATGCCCGGAACCGCCAGTCCTCTTGGAGATCTGGGAGAAGGAAGACGCTCTAGATGGGATGTTTAGTGGATATTCCTATGAAGAAGTCTAGCCTACAACCTACCCCAGGAGGTTGAGTGACGGTATGTGCGCAGATTGTCTCGCCGCGGGGCAGGATGCCGAGTTGTAGGCCATGGGTCGCCAGGCGAATATAGACATGGATATCGAGAATGCCAATCACCGCGAACTGCCAGCCGGTGCATTCCTTTGCAAGATCGGCTTTCTCCTGGAGCCCGGCGAGCAGTTCAGCTTCTGCCTCTATATCGCGGGTGTAGTACCATAGCATGGACAGTCTAAGTCTCTCATTGTCAGCGAGAAATGCGCGCAAGTACCGAACATCAACAAGATCAAATCCCGGGGGTTTGTCGGATCTGGTGGCAGTGGCAGCGGCAGTGGAAGTGGGTACGTTGGGATGCGGAGTAGTGGTAGTACTGGTAGGGTAAACAATCGCTTCAATCTCGGGGGTCAGGACGCTGATTGGCTTATCCAGGTTGTCGGGGTCGAAGATCGGGCCAATCGCCGTGGGCCGCGCCTGCTGGTGTGGTGCTGGCTGCCTCAGGTATCTCAGGATGGCCGCATCGGCCTTGGGGAGAAAGCTCGCGGTGCTGCTGCTTGGAGCGGGCATGATTTCCCTTCCTATTTCGTTATCTCATTCTCCCTCGTCCTGACAGAGATGATGGACCTGAGAGGGGGAAAGAGGGGGACGAAGAGGACATTTGTTCCTGGCTCAGCCGCGGATGCCACTGGGCAAAGAAACAGGTTTTCCTCTCCTGCACGTGATATCACAAAGAGATGATTGGTGGCATCGGTTCCCGTTCAGGGTTGCAATTTCGTCGCAAGGTTCTTCAACCTGCCATTCTTCCATCATCTCATTTTGTGCATTAAACATGACAGAGTAATACATTCCCTTGTGCCAGAACTGACATATTCAGAACACATGTTATTTCTATCTTTTCTGAACCATTGAGAGATCGAAGTTCTATCGAGAGAATATAGTAATTGAGAATTAGGTTAATTTAGATGATAATTTTCACAATATTGATGATAAATAAAGACTATTGGTAGGGACAAGTAGACTGTGCTCACCAAGACGTGCCTTTGAACAGGTCGGTCATGTTTGCAGAAATTCTGCTATGTGTGCTAGGCTAGTACTACCTTAGTCTGTGAATAGTGTCGGTGCCTCAGGCAGAATTTGGTGCCTGAGGCGGAGATCTCTTTCACATCTCTTCCAATCTTTTACTATTGCAGTTGTATACTGATCTAGATAAACCAAGATCTATAGCCACTACTGAGAATCTATAGTGAAGAGATGTAGTTATAGAAGTATATAATACTGCTGCTTGCAGCTGATGCTGCGCGGTGAGAGCGAGGTTGTTGGTTCTTGTTTACAGCAATAACAAATTCAGCTGAAACTGATGCTGATTATAAGAGGATAGTGACAGTGTTTAGGTTAATTTCTTCTCCTCGTTGTATTTTGTTTTCTTGTCTTCTCTTTTTCTGGCTGGATTCTGTGGGGTTGACTCCATAGTACAGTATCGCAAGTGGGAATCAAAAATAAATATTTGCCCGGGCTGCGCATGTGCCTAGATCTCCGATCCACTTGAAAGTGGGTGTCAGAAGTCTTCGTAGAGCTTGAAGACTCCAATCAATACTGAGATTACTATAACTTCGCCTACCACCGAAAAAGGGAGTTTCTGTTGCTCAATCATATCAATTTCTGCTTGAAGGCCAATCTGGGAGCGCCGGCTGCCTGTGCGGAAGCGAGGATCACGTGATAGATTGACTATCCTCAGCCGGCCTTCGAATGTACCTCCAGCGCTCTGGAAAGAACCAAAATAATCTCCCAAGCCTCCTTGCAGCTTGATACTCGGGAAGAGGCGCTTGAAATCCGACACTCCGTCACAGTAAACTTGTCTTTTGAATCCCGTTCTGAGCCTCGCGGCCTCGCAATTAGAGCAGAGCATTCCACTTCCAGGTCACTACCCCCCGGCAGATCCTCGACTGCTACACACGTGCAGACCTAGTAGGAACGGAGTCAACAATTAGCGCATCCCTCAAATAGCCCGAGTACTTTCATCACCGAGCACAAAGGGCAGACTCACCGGCTTGGTGTCCATAAATGCCGACTCCAACACAGCGTTCGCAGCACCCCAATCCCGCATGTCGGTCAAGAAGATGCTGAGTTTGATCACACAGTCTAGGCTCGAGCCGGCGGCGGTGAGAATTGTATTGAGATTTAGGAGGATCTGCGCCTAGCATGTGGTGAGTGCATCAGTAAGTTGCAAGAGAGCTGACAAGCAGGGTGCTGGGATCTCACTTACTGCGCGGGCTTGGATACATCCTGCCGCTAGCCTGCCTGTGTTTGGGTCGATGGGGAGTTGGCCCGAGCAGTGGATTACATTGCCAACCACGTGGGCTGGAGATAGGAATTTTGACAGAATCGGAGGTTGGGGAGTGGAAATTTGGGTTGGTTGAGGGGCATTCATGTTGTTGATGTTTGGGATTCGGGGGCTGGTGAAGTTGACGTAGGAGACGGCCATTTATATTTTGGTCGCTGGGCAGGTGCCTCACTTTCCTTATGAGGTAAGGATAGTTTGAGCCTGCTTGGGTCACTAGTGAATGATTCTATTCTGATTACTCTTGGTACACCCTCTATGTCGCTTTTCTACACAGGTCCTACCCATTGCATCGTGGCTATCCTCAGCCTCCTACGAGTTCAACCCGCAAGTTGAATGTGGTCTCTGGATCCATGAGCTCTTTGTTGATGGACCGGCCAAAATGCATAATGCGTGTTACAAAACAAATACCATCATTTCGCACGCACATCATCGTAAATGATCTCTTCCACACGCTCGGAACAACCAAGAACTTCAAGGTCTAATCAAAAAGACTGATTAACTCAAATCTCTGATAGCAGCAAAAGGCGGGCCATCAGTACGTACCTCCATACGGCAATATCTGCGAAGCAATGATGCCACCCACTCCATTCTCCCGGTCTGCAAACCAGAACAAATTAGGCAGCCCTTCCCAGGACCCCGATCCTGCGGCTCTCCCGGTCGAGCTCTTGGTGTGGCTGAGTGCGAAGGATAGGCCCCATCCTTCGGTGAGGTCGTCCGCACACGGCACCAGCGGGCACGGATTGGCCAGAAGCGGCTTGCCCGAGGGCGTATACTCGTTGCAGTATCGCGGCATGGTTGGGATTTGATCGGTGAACATGGCTAGCACATAGTCAGTTGCCGATGCGGTGGAGTGGAAGAATAAAGCGTACCTTGAACCGTCTCAGGCTTCAGAAGCTGGGCCCCAGTGTTGGGACTCGTGCCGCGGTTCAGAAGTGTTGCGATAATTCCTGCATAGACTTCAGCATCATATCCAGGATGCTCAGACGGATTTGATGGACATACGACAGTACTCCAGCGGTTTTCCAAAACAGCCCGCCCCTCCCATACAAAACCGCCGACCCTCCTCGTCCGGCCTGCAAGGAAGCAAAGGATATCGGTACAGATGGTCCGTGATACTGAGCGAACCGTCTTTGGCGCGCTGGTGCATATACGCCAGATTACTCTTCATCGCGTCCGTCGGAAAGAAGGTGATATTCTCCACTCCCAAGGGCCGTAGAATAAAGGTCTGGAAGTACTCTTCCAGCGAGATCCCCGTCATGCGCTCCACCAACTGACCCACCCAGTCCATGCCCACTCCATACTGGAACTTGGTCCCGGGCTGGTTGACCAGCGGCCGGAGCAGCACGTCGTGGGTGTTTCCCGAGAAATCGTCCAGGCCGATGGGGCGCGACCATTCGAGCAGCTTCAAGTCTTCAAAAGCGTACCCAAAACCAGCTGTGCTCCATCAGCATTGTGCACGCTGAACTCTGGCCACGGGGTTAGTGATGCTTGACTTACAAGTATGGTTCAACAGCATCCGTAACGTCAATCGCCTCTCTTTGGCAACCATCTTGATTCCACCATCAGCACCCCGCTCCAACACCTCCACATCCCGGAGCTCGGGGGCTAAAGACTCAAGCTGGTCACTGTCGTCCAGCGCCAGCTTCCCCTGCTCGACTAACTGCATACATGCGATACTGGTGAGTAGTTTCGTGCAAGAGGCCATATAGAAGATCGTGTCGAGGGTCATGGGCTCTTCCTGGCCGAGTCCCGTTTTCCCGGACGCATGGCTGAAAATAATCTCACCTGTCCGGTCGACGGCTGCATACACAAGCCCTGCAATTTTGGGCGATGGATCACAAGTCAATGTGTCCATCACCGCTCGAGCAGCCGTGTTTGCGTGCGCTGAAAGGTGTTTGGCCATGTTGGATGGGCTGTATGTGCGGTCCTAGGCAGGGTGTTCTCACAGTACGGGTGTGATAGAAGCGAAATACCAGGGTGATGTCCAGTTATCAAGATCTGGCTTTGCAAGCTAGTGTGGGGCCTAGATTGGCGTGCATTTTCCATGTGGATCTACTATTACTGCGTAAATGAGTAGTAACAGTTACCTCATTAGGAAGGAGAGCCAAGACGCATGATGCAACGGGCGAGAATTTAGGGCAAGTCTGAATTGCCTCGGTGAGAAGGACAGACTTTGAATAGTCCACCTCAAATGTAAGTTATAAGCCCTAAAGACTTATATACGATTCCCGATATATTGCGCCACGCTTCACCGCAGTCAGCCCGATCCTAAGGATACACACTTACAATCGTACTTTCAATGGCAACAGAAGCCATCCAAGTCCACCCCTCATGGCGGACCAAACATCCCACCCAACCACACTTAGCCACGCTCGAGGACTACCACGCCCTCTACCAAGAATCCATCACCTCGCCAGAGACCTTCTGGAGCAAACAAGCACACGACCTCCTCACCTTCACCCGTGACTTCCACATCACCCACCTGGGCTCCTTCGCGAGCGGCGACAGTGCCTGGTTCCTGGGCGGCCAGCTGAACGCCTCCTTCAACTGTGTAGACCGCCACGCAATCCGTCACCCGGAACGGATAGCCCTGATCTTCGAGCCCGATGACCCATCCGACGGCAGCGTTTTAATCACCTACAGCGAACTACTGAAGCAAGTCTGCCGCCTGGCATGGTGTCTGCGCGCACAGGGGGTCCGCAAGGGCGACATCGTAACGATCTACATGCCCATGATCCCCGAGACGGTGTACGCGGTGCTGGCGTGCGCGCGTCTCGGCGCCGTGCACTCCGTCGTGTTCGCGGGTTTCTCGGCGGAGGCCCTGCGGGACCGCGTGCTTGACGCACGGTCCGCGGTGGTCATCACCGTTGACCAAGGCCGCCGCGGGGGCAAGGTAGTTCCCACGAAGCAGGTCGTGGACGACGCGGTGAGGGACTGTCCGACTGTATTCTCCGTGTTGACGTTCCGTCGAACCGGTGCTCAAATCCCATGGACAGTGGGCCGCGATATCTGGTGCGACGATGCGATGAAGAAATTCCCGAGTTACATCCCGCCTGAGCCCGTGGACTCGGAGGACTATCTCTTCCTCCTGTATACATCCGGATCAACGGGGAAGCCAAAGGGCGTACTGCATAGTACGGCGGGGTACCTGCTCGGCGCGGCGATCACGGCGAAATATGTCTTCGATCTGCACGAGCACGACCGGTTCTTCTGCGCCGGGGACATCGGGTGGATCACTGGCCACACGTATGTGGTTTATGCGCCGTTGTTGTTGGGCTGCACCACTGTTATCTTCGAGGGCACGCCCGCGTATCCTTCGTATTCGCGGTACTGGGAGATCCTGGCGAAGCATGCTGTCACCCATTTTTATGCTGCTCCAACAGCACTGAGGTTGTTGAAACGAGAGCAGGCGCAGATTGAGGTCGCTGAGTTTGATACAAGTTATTTGCGGGTGCTGGGATCTGTTGGGGAGCCCATCGCGCCGGAGATCTGGAAGTGGTATTACGAGGTGATGGGCAAGGAGGAGGCCTGTGTGACAGATGTATGCCTTCCTTCTTGCATTCAACCTCATCTCGTTATCGGACTTGAGTTTCACATCGCTGACAGAATTGATCCCTAGACCTATTGGCAGACGGAAACAGGATCGCACATCATCGCCTCCCTCGCTGGGGTGACCCCCATGAAACCGGGCAGCGCCTCCCTGCCCATGTTCGGGATTGACTTTGCCATAATTGATCCTGTATCCGGAGAGGAGCTGACAGGGAACGAGGTGGAGGGGGTCCTGGCAATCAAACAGCCCTGGCCCAGCATGGCCCGCACCATCCGCAACAGCCATGATCGCTTCATTGAGACATACTTCAATGTGTATCGAGGGTACTACGTAAGTCTGTCGTATGCACTTTCTACCGCGTACCCTTGGACTGATCAGTCTCCAATCGATACAGTTCACCGGAGATGGCGCCTTCCGCGACAAGGACGGATACTACTGGATCCGCGGCCGAGTCGACGACGTGGTCAACGTCTCCGGACACCGACTCTCCACCTCGGAGATTGAAGCCGCCCTAATTGAACATTGTGAGCCCTACCTACTTCTTAAGATGAATAGATCCACTGAGCCAGAACAGCCAACGTGGCCGAAGCCGCCATCATCGGAGTCCCGGACGACTTGACCGGCCAAGCCATCAACGCCCTCGTCTCCCTCAAGACAACGCCCAAGCCAGAAGATATCGAGAAGGAGCTGACGGTTCAGGTGCGGAAGTCCATCGGCTCTTTTGCGGCTCCGAAAAAGATCTTCGTTGTTTCGGACCTGCCCAAGACACGGAGTGGGAAGATTGTTCGACGCATTTTGAGGAAGATTTTGACGGGTGAGATGGAGTTTGGGGATACATCTACTGTAGGCTTTCATTGAGGCCCAATGATACTTCGGCTTGCTGACACTGAAATGAACTAGTTGGCTGATCCTGGGGTGGTGGACGAGATTATTCGAGTGGTGAATGCGGGATAGATTCGCCTACTGCGTCAGAGGAGGGCATCGATTGTTCACATAGAGATCTGCTTGCATTGAAAGTGATGAATTTCCACGATCGGGCAAATTAGCCATGACAGGGACTATTTTCAAGCTATTGTTACGCGACAATCACCATCATAAAGACATCACCCTCTTCCAATGTAGGATAACACAGCAGATCCATTCAAGTATCTCGTTGCGCATGGAAAATACAACCGTCTAAGACTCGAGTACAAAGCATGCACCATCACTCCGTAACTTCACAACTTTAGACCAGAAATTGCCTCAAGCCTCTCCACAGACCCAGGCAACAACAATCCTAAGAATCAAACAAGGCCGCCTCTGCCGCAATCTCCGCCCGCATCCCGGGAACATTGATCTCCTTAACGATCACCGTGCACCACGTCGGCGTGTGGCCCGGAACCCGCTGTTGGAATACCCGGTGCATCTCGGCTTCGTGGTCTGGGGAGGTCAGATAGCTCAGCACCCGGTAGGCTTGGTGCAAGCCCCGCCCCACCCCGGCGTGCTTGAGGGCTGCGTCCAGACAGTCAAAGATGGCGTTAAATTCGGCGGTGACAGTAGTGTTTACCAGGCTCCCTGTGGCGAGATCGAGGCCGATGTGGCCGGTGGTGAAGACGAGGGAGGTGGTGCGGGAGACGGGGACTGTGGCGGTTGTAGAGAGGGAGGTGGGTTTGAGGCAGTCCCCTACGGGGCCGGGGAGGTTTTGGTAGATGATTGATTTGGTGGACATTTCGAGGTCTTTTCGGGGTTGATTGAGATGGTGGGTATGGAGGGGCAGAACGCGGGTTGGATGGCTTATCAGTCTTCTTTCCTCAGGACATAAGACGAATTTCCGGATCGAGGAATGAAGTAACGGCAAATAAAGTACTCATACTACTAGCTTGATCGTACCATGTTCTCGGTTGCCTTTTTGAGTCAAATAGATACGGGGTAGTGGGACCTCGGACGCTCCCCGGACTTTCCAGCGGTACCGCCACGCTGCCCCCTCCATATACATATGTGACCCTAATCTCCCGCGATAGTTTGACCCACCACAGCTATCCCCGCCCCCCTCAAGGCTTCTGGTTGACCATCCATTGGAGCGTACTACATACATGGTCTTTTAGCCTTCAATATACTCTCTGTACAGGATGTCTCCCTCAACCACCCGAACAGCCAGGACCCTGGATGGCTACACCTGGACTCGCGCAACGGGGGTAGTCAAGGGCAACCTCCGTTGCAGAGGGGTCATCGAGCCCAGCGACAACCGCACCGCCCCGGCAGGCCATCTCTACGATGTAGTTGTCATTGGAGCGGGCTATGCGGGTCTAATCGCTGCCCGCGATCTGGCAGAGCAGGGTGAGTACCTCAGAGCCTCTCAGCGAGCTGTCTGACATCTGAGTTTTAGGTCGATCGGTGTTGCTGCTGGAAGCGCGTGATCGTATTGGTGGACGGACCTATACGGTCGAGGAAGATGGTATGACTCTATCAACAACAAAATGAAACGAATACGCGATACAATCACTGACGCAAGAAATAGGCCTCCTCTACGAAATGGGCGGGACATGGGTAACCCACCACATGGCCTACCTCTTCAAGGAGATGATCCGCTACAAGATGGACCGCGACCTCACGCTCACCCACAGCCGGGAGTACGAGCACGACTACTACACCATGAACGTCCCCGGCGCCACGCCACGCAAGTTCACTCACGAAGAAAGCGGCCAGATCGTCGCCAGGGCGTGGGACCTGTTCGTCAACGTCGATGGCCAGAACTGCCGCCGCGTCTGCCCACTCCCGCACGCCCAGCTGGGCAACATCCTAGTGCAACGCGAGGAGGTGGAGCGGCTGGACCGCGTCTCCTGCCGGGAGCGGTTCGAAGAAATCAAGCACCTGCTGACGGCCGAAGAAGCGGGGATGCTCGTCGCCCTCCTGCTGCACATCTCGGGCGGCAGCCTGGAGAATTCAAGTCTGTGGGATATGATCCGCTCGCATGCGCTCATGTCGTACAGCTCGGAGAACTTCACCCCGATCTGGACGACCTTCAAGCTGCGCGAGGGGCAGTCCGAGCTGGCGCGACGGATGTTTGACGATGCAGTGGACCACGGCCTGCAGTACTGCTTCCGTACGGCGGTGCGGGCGATCACTGACCGCGGCAATTCGGTGCAAGTCACTACTACGTTGGGCACGATCCATCAAGCCCGTCGAGTCATCAGTACGATCCCCCTCAATGTCCTCCGACATGTCGAGTTCAGCCCCCCGCTTTCCCCGACCCGCAAGGAAGCAATCAACCTCGGCCATGTCAACTTTATGACCAAGATTCATGCTGAGGTGGCTGGCCCCGGCCTGGCCTCGTGGAATGGCATGCGGTTTCCCAACTTGTTGATGTTTGGGTACGGGGACGGGCTCACAGAGAGAGGGAATGCCCACATCGTGGCGTTCGGGAAGGATGAGCGGGGCGAGTACATCCCCGAGCGCGATCCCGAGAAGACGATTGATGCTTTTCAGAAGTTGCATCCGATGGAAGTGAAGAAGATGGTAAGAGCCTTCTGACTTTGGTATTTGTGTTGTAGGATTCGTCTGACGACTTATATGAGCTGATAGGTCTTTCACAACTGGTGTACCGATCCGTGGTCGCAGGGCGGCCCCGCCTGGTGGCGTCCGCAGTACATGTCCAAGTATCAGGATGAGCTGCAGTCTCGCCATGGCAACGTGTTCTTTGCTTCAGCGGATTGGGCGCATGGATGGAGAGCGGCGATTGATGGGGCTTTGGAGCAGGGGTCGTTGGCGGCGCAGGAGGCGGGTAAAGAGGTCAAGCAGTTGCTTCCCCCGGTGGTCAGAGGGAGGATCTAGTGTTTGATCGGAAGGTTATATATACATTTTTTATCGAGCTTTGTTTCGTCAGATTGTTGCGTTGCTGTAGAGAGATGCCCTAGACGTAGTAACTACTCTCATCGAGAGAAGTCCTGAGTATAAAGGGTTGAGGGGTTGTTAAATTGACTTGATGAGCATGTCAAACACGACCTGTCGAGTTCTATTTCTCAGATGCAGTAGTTATACATGGCAGTCTATACAGAGTTGGATTTAGAACATTCAATGTCCCTTCCTTCTACCCAGCCACAGAGGCTAGAGGTGAAGGTTCAAGAGCATAGAGCTTCTCACCACTCCCTTCCAGCCAATTTATCACCCTCCTCCAGCTTCTGCACATTAATCCCCACCATCGCCTCCCCAAGACCCTCACTCACCTCCGCAAGGACCTTCGCATCCCCGTAATCCGTAACAGCCTGCACAATCGCTCGCGCGCGCTTCTTCGCATCTCCAGATTTGAAGATCCCCGAGCCGACAAACACCCCGTCGCAGCCCAACTGCATCATCAGCGCCGCATCCGCCGGCGTCGCCACCCCGCCAGCCGCAAAGTTGACGACCGGTAAACGACCCCGCTCGGCCGTCTCCCGGAGCAGCCCGTAGGGGGCCTCGATCTCCCTCGCCATCGCGCGCAACTTGGGCTCCGGATCCGGCCGCGACTGGAGAATCGCCCGCGCGCGCATGATCTGGGCGTTCAGCGTCCGCATGTGTGTGACTGCCTCCACGACGTCGCCAGTGCCGGCTTCGCCCTTCGTACGGATCATGGCCGCCCCTTCGGCAATGCGACGCAGGGCCTCGCCGAGAGTGCGACAGCCGCAGACGAAGGGGATCCTGGAGTTGTGCTTGGTGACGTGGTAGCGATTATCGGCTGGGGTGAGGACTTCGGACTCGTCGATGTAGTCTACACCGATGGCTTCGAGGATCTGCGGCAGATTGTTCGGTTAGACTTTGAGTCTGCGGTGCAAAGTATTGTATTGCTGGTGGCGTAATATTGAGAGCCGTTAACATACCTGACACTCCACAAAGTGACCGATGCGCGCCTTTGCCATTACCGGAATCGTCACCGCGTCCATGATCTCCTTGATCATCCCTGGGTCGGACATGCGCGCGACACCTCCTTGGGCGCGGATGTCGGCTGGAACTCGCTCGAGGGCCATTACAGCCGCGGCGCCAGCTTCTTCTGCGATGCGGGCCTACATTTAGGTACATCAAATCAGCTATTGGCCTCAGGTGGCGACTCACTCATCGAGCACACTGCCGCCACTTCGGAGGAACGTACCTGCTCGGCATTCACGACGTCCATGATGACCCCGCCTTTGAGCATCTGCGCCAGACCGGCCTTGACCGTGAACTCATTGCCGAGGGTACTCGTCTCTTGCGTCATGGTGCGTGATGTGGTTGGTGTTCGGAGCCAGGAAGTTGGTGCGGAAAGTCAAAACTGACAACTGTGTCCACGTGCAGGTTTATACCTCAGTATGAAGTTTGGAAAAATGGGGCCAAAAGCTCAAAACGGAAGTAATTCCAACTGGTTCAAATTTGGCCCACCATATTCTTAGGATGTGGATGGATGGAGCAGTGGATGCAGCTATAGTGAGCACCGAGCGCATGAGCAACACTGCGGTCACAGCCTGTATCATCTTCCGTACCGTCATTGGTTTACTTTATCTACCCCCTGCAATAGCGGTTCTTGCCAAGCCTTCTAGGAAGTGTAAGGGTCAGATAGTGGGCTTCATTCTTGTGACTTGGCAATGCAGATGTGCTGAATCAGGGTTATTGCGGGGGATGGACCCGCCGCGCGCCTGTTGGGTCTGAAAATGGTTAGTTCGGGATAGAAACAAACTCAGTTGCCTAATCCGGTAATCGACGCAGCCTCCAATCCCGGCCAAGTAACAGTATTACCTGCAATGGACTGTGAAACTGCGTGCGTGTCGTAGATACTTGCAGATTACTGTCTTTGGTACTACCTCGAGTTATGACACGTTATCTACAGACCGAATTTCGATCTCAACCCCTCAATCAGATCCCCGCTTTGTATCTATCACAAACTATAAGTTGCACGAGAAAGTTGTTCAGGACAATGAGATCAAGTCATAACCCTGCAACCAAAAATAACAACCTCATTTTACTTCCATCAGTTACGACTCTCTCTCCTCTTCCCACGATCTATACTGCATCATGTCTGATTTCTCGGGTCTCTCGTTGAAGGGCAAGACCGCCATTGTCACGGGTGCTTCGAGGTGAAACTCACCAACTTGAACAGCGGGGTGAAGAACGCATGCTTACACTTCTGCAAAACAGAGGCCTCGGTGCTGGCATCGCTCTCCTCTTTGCCAAGCGCGGGGCCAATGTGGTGGTCAACTACGTCTCCGAAGGCAGCAAGCAGCGCGCCCAAGAAGTCGTGGATAAGATCACCCAGATCGGCACCAAGGCCATCTTGTGTCAGGTCGATGTCAGCAAGCTGGACGAGATCCCCAAGCTTGTCGACGCTGCACTGCAGATCAGTGAGACAGGCAAGATTGAGATCCTCATTCACAAGTAAGCTCCGTTCGTCTACCCGTTCAGCATGAAACACAATCTAATATTTCTGTAGTGCTGCGCAAGGTCTCGAGGCCAACCTGGTAGACACCACACCCGAGTTCTACACCACACACTTCGACTGCAATGTTCGTGGCCCGATTTTCCTCACTCAGGCTGTCGTCCCCCATCTGCCCCGCGGAGGTCGCATTGTCTTCATCTCCTCGGCTGGTGCTCGCCTGGGTGTCGCGGGTCAGACGGTCTATGCTGCTACGAAGGCGGCGGACGAGGCGCTGGTGCGAGTGTGGGCAAAGGAGCTGGGCCACTCGCACGGCATCACAGTCAACTGTGTCAACCCCGGACCGATTGCAACTGGTGAGTGTCTCTGCGCGCATATGGCCGAAGAGCATTTCCTAACCCTGCTTCCCACGTAGATCAATGGTTCCAGAGCGACGAGCAGTTCCTGAAGGATATGCAGCCGCTCATTGAGTCGACCCCTGCGGCTCCCAGAGTGGGTGAGGTCGATGATATCGCTCCCTTGGTCGCCTTCCTCTGCAGTGATGATGCCAGATGGACTACCGGTGCTTGTTTGTCGGCCAATGGTGGGCTTTACAATTAGATGGGATCGCATATGTATATAGCATTAAGCAAATTTGTAAGACGATCTTTCATCCCTAAGCAGACAGTATAGATAGAGATAGTCCTCCAGTCATACTGCACTGAGTAAGAACGAGCATCATGTCTCCTACTCACGGTGGCTCAATTGCCTTTGGTCAGTCTTCTCTAGTTGCGAGGACTAAGATGTCAATCAAAGAGACTAGCTCATTATTTTTGTCTGCACACCGAAAGCAGTATATATTCTGGGTCCCCCCTGCGCCTTCTTGGAACTGATTTCTGTCTTGTCTTTCTCTCACAACAACAGCTCAACAAGCTTTCCTCGTGAGCCCGCTCGCCTCCCACCAATCAAGATGGCTTCAAGTCCGTTCTTCGATCTGATGAATGCCCTGACAGCGCTGGATGTCGATAAATTCAAGTCATTTGATACCATCACCACGCCCTACAAACGACTAAATGGAACCAATCAGTCAATCTTCACAGATATCTTTATTCCCAAGTCTATACTGCAGCAGCAACAACCCAGAAGATGCCCCATTATCGTGCGGATCCACGGTGGATTCCTGGTAAGTAGTCTCTAGTTATCCATGCAAGTCCTTCTCATTATTCGAATCACTCATTTAACCTGCCCAGATTACTGGTTCTAGCCAATACGCACCTTGGTTCTCGAGCTGGATTCTCGAGTACGCTCTTGCAAGCCAGGCAATCATTGTCTCTCCAAACTACCGCCTTCTACCCGAAGCATCAGGGCAAGAGATATTAGACGATATGGAGGACTTCTGGCGATGGCTGCACAGCGAGCAGTTCATGCAGTCTGTTACCAAGGCTGCAGGCCAGTCGTACCTTGTACTGGATCGTGACCGGGTGCTTGTTTTGGGTGAAAGTGCAGGTCCGACTCCCGATCTGAGCACTGCAGCCTTCCTTCTCCAAGATCGTACTGACAGTATGTAAATCAAAGGAGGCTATCTAGCCATCCAGCTCGCCATCAGCCACCCGTCCGAGATCCGCGCCGTCATCGGCGCCTACCCCATGCTCGACTTCAAGGTCCCCTTCTACACGGACAACTACCCCAAACCTATCGTCGGGGTGCCCAACCTGCCAAGCCAGGTTGTTGACGACCACCTTCTCAGTACCCGTGAAACCCCTGCGGCAATCACCGCGGCCGACCCGCCCGATAGACTACGGCTTGCGTTCGCGATCGTTCAGAATGGGCGGTTTCTGGAATTCTTCGGCTCGCCTGACGATTATAGTCTCTTTCCAATGGAGAGGATTGAGCGTCTTGCCACCGTGGGGAGACTGGAATTCCCACCTCTGTTTGTATTCCACGGGGAGCAGGATTCGGCTGTCCCCGTTGATGGTACCCGGCGTTTCGTTGCCGTACTGCGTCAGCTCTCGCCTACGGCGCAGGTGGAATTCTATACCCAGGATGGAGACCATGGGTTTGATGTGGAGGCTACGCTGGAGACTCCTTGGCTTAGGGACGGGCTGCGGAGCATTTCCAAAGCGTGGTTGGACGGTCGTAATGTCCGGGGTGAACGTTTGTGATTCTGGGTATAGATACATACACTACGATAAGATTGAGAATCGGAACCACATTTTATCTCTCATCGATTGTATGCCGGGAAGCGGATCTGAGATACGGTCTGGATCTCGACATGTTTCTTTCAAACACGGAGACTTACTTAGCACTCTTACAATCAGCAGGGATCCAAGAGCTGTTATCAACGCCATGTATCTAGACTATTTGTTTCATTGAAGTATTATCATCATGGATGGATATCCCTCTTTCCCAATTCGGGTACATGGGCCGTTTCCCCCACTGCAGCGCGGCAAATCCGACCGCTTTTGGCCTTAGCGCCTGGCCCTTAACCCTATGTATCTGCTTTGCTTATCTCCTTACTTTCCCACGCCTATTCTCTTCATGCAATGACTTACTCCGTATTTGTCGCAATTATGCGGCGTCACACTCATCCGTCCAGAGCTTAGCAGGAAGTAAGTTACTCAACTTTACTTATCTTTTCCCCGCCCATCAACTTCTTCCCCAATGTTTTGTCATCGCAGTGGCGGGCCGACTCCGGGGAAACGAACCCCGCAGCCCCCAGTGCGTGCAGTCTCTTTACTCGTTCAGCATCTGACTACCGACATCATTCGCCTGCACAATCTCGTATACTCCACAAGCGTCTCCTTCCCCGCTCATTTTTGGGGTGGTGAGCAAGGGCATATCTACCAAGTGAACACTCAATACAGAAAGAGAACCTGCTCCCACGCACTGCTTACCATGTTGAGTAGTCGCCTCTCCCCTCCAGCCTGAGCCCACAATGAGCACAGCGAACCCAGGTAGCACGACCACTACCAAAGGCAAGCGGACGAACTCCTTAGCCTTCGCGCAGACTGACTGCCACACGTGCGCCTCGTCCGGCGAACACTGTGACCGTCGTCGCCCGAAGTGCTCGACATGCCTTCGCCAGGGCCGGCGGTGCGATGGCTTTGTGACACCGCTCTCCTGGGATCCGCGGAGAATGAAGACGGACGACAGTGCTGTCCACCCTCTTTCCGCAGACCCGTTCATCATGAGCAACAGTACCCCACCCCAGCGCTTCCAGTTCGTGACTGGGGCGCGGGTGCGGAAGCGTCGCCGGACAGGGCCCGCTACGGCGAGAGCACGGCCAGCCAGACGGAGTGCAACGCCTGAGGCTTTGCCCAGAGAGGCAGGCGAGCAGGCCGCCGGCGGGCTCTCGTTACGGCCCGACCCAACTGGGACTACTTTGATCGACCCTGGTACGCATTGTCAACGACGAGTTGCCCTTTTTGTATGCTTGGAAAAAGACACTGATCGTAGCAGATCTTACACTGTCCGGCTTAGGGACCCTCGGCGAACTATGTCTGGACGATTTCAGCATCTTCGAATCCTTAATGCCGGATATCTTCGGGTCGACCCCACCACTCCATGCCCCGACTGATAGCATTGGCGTCGAGGACCCATTCATGACAGAGGCATCAGACACTACAGCCTCTGCGGTACTGCCCCGCACACCTCCGGCCCTCCTCACTGGAGACGACTCCGTCCACCCCATTGATCCCCTCCCGCAAGACGGGGCACACAATGACGCGCTGATGTCATCTGCGGAGGCATTCCCATCGGGTGCGGTGGACCAGAGCTGTCAGCTCGCGGGCCAAAACACGGCCGTCCACATCCTCTCACCCCGGATTGCGGCCCCGCGCCCCGCGACTCTGGATACGAGCATCCCCAACCAGCACGAGTGGCTCCTTGAACTATGTACGCATATCCCCTGTCGTAGTCCCGGCTCTTCACCGATCGTGGAAAAGTTGGAAGCATACTGAGAAATTCCATTCCAGATGACTCGAAATTCTGCGTCCTGCCATTGACGGGTGATACCACCCTGAACCCCTTCCGGTGCAAGCGCCAAACCTCGCAGGGCTCGCGTCTGCTCTTCCATTCGATCCTGGCACTATGCTGCCAGCACCTGAAGCGGTTGACGGGCAGCAGCTGGTCGAGTGAAGCTGTCGAACATCGCCGGAAGGCCGCCCAGTTGCTCGATGCGGCGTTGCAGCAGGGACGCCAGCACGCAGGAGGCGTCAGTAATCTACATCTGCTGGAGCCGATTCTGATTCTGTTTACCTTGGATGTATGTACCCTTTCTCGTTACCCGTCTCCCTAACCCCCCCCCCCCCGCTAAAAGAAAAGCAGCTAACAGAATGAGCAGTGCACTCTCTCCGCGTCCGGAACATGGGCCACGCACCTCCATCGCGCCCATTCAATGCTCGAGGCCGCCGGCGGCCCCGGTGCGCTCATCAGCCCGCGGATCCGATCGCAGGTTGGAATGTTGATCTGGTATGCCATCCCTCATTCCCTTGCATTTCTGACGGGAGTGGATCGCGATCTAACATAGACAAGGTGGGACGTGACCCTCGCCCTAATCTCGCGGCAACGCCCGATCATGCGCCAAGCGTATCTGGACCACCTCATCCGCTGGGAAAAGCAAGACGCATGGTCGTTCTTCGACCTCACAGGGTGTCCAGGCTACCTGGTCGCGCGGCTGTACCACCTGGCCGAGCTGGCGCAGCAGAGCGAGATCGCCTCGTCGATGAAGTGGCTCAGCTTCGATCGCACGCCGGTGCTTGCGATGGAGCGGGAGATACGGGAGTGGACGAGCGAGCACGACCCCTCCTCGATTTCCGCGGACGACGAGGCAAGAATTCCCGATGAGGCGGAAAGTCCCGCTGACGCTGTCGATGGGGAGCAGGAGTTCAACCGGCGGCAGGATGCCTTCCACTGTGCCGAGGCGTGGCGCTGGACCTTGCTTCTGTACATCGAGTCGGTGTTCCGGCGGCATCGGACGAAGATTGCGCAGATGCACAGGCAGCAAGGCCGCGCGGGGCTGCGTCGATTGGTCCGCAAGATCGTCGACCACACGCGGTGTTGTCGAAGGTCGTCACAGACGCAGAAACAGTTGCTGCTTCCGGTGTTTCTGGCCGGGAGCGAGACGTTGGATCCCGATTTGCGGGAGTTCGTGACGGACTACTGCGCGTATTGGAGCGAGAAGAGCCAGTATAGCATGTTCGATAGTGTACGGGTGCTGTTGAAGGAGATCTGGGCGTCTGGGACGTGGTGGGGGGCGGTTGTGGATGGTAAGACGAAAGGTGGGCAGGAGGAGGCGCGACAGGGGCAACCAGGGGTTACGCCTACGCAATTCTTATTTGGGTAGGGTGGATGCAACTTCATGTCAGAACATGAAGCGAGATCTTCCTTGCATCGTAATTAATATTGTCATTGCATTACAGTGTGAAGCTTGGAAACATGAATAGCACTATTGTTCGCTTCGACCATCTATCCGCCGCATGAGGTGAGGTCTCAGCCAGAATGATGTCTACATGTATCTCAAAGCGGGCATCAATTCATCCCCTGCGTTGCATTCAGCGCATCCCAGTTGATGGTCGGCCCGGAAAACTTCCCCCGCCGCTCGAACCAGCACAGCATGACGATGCCAAAAATCCCAGTCAGAACCACTGAGTTACTGCATCCAACCCGCCTTAGTACCTAATCAACATATCCAAGGACACCAGAGACACTCACTAATTCATATTCTCCAGCGTCGGTGGATTGCTCGTCGGGAAACAGAAGAAGATCCCACTGAGAATCACCCAGAGCACAGAAAAGACGTTGACTCCGTACCCCCAGGGGCCAAGATCGTAGTATCGCGCCGGCAGCCTAGTCCGACCGCGGATCGCTAGGATCCCCTGCGGGACCACGTAGGTGATGTTGAGCATCAGGACTGCGGTGTTGATGATCGAGTTGAAGGCTTGCGTGCTGGCGATGTAGAGGAGTCCATAGATGGCGCAGAAGCCGGCGGAGAGAAGGGTGGTTCGGACGGGGATGCCGAGTTTCTCGTCCACTACCGACCAGTATTTCGAGAAGGGGAGTCCATTCTGAATTAGGGTGTTAGTTGTTGTGAAGTAGAGCTGGGGTAGGTCGGCTCACGTCACGCGAAAATGCCCATGTCATGCGGCTGCTTGTGATCCATTGGCTTGGGACGCATGCTGGAGTCGAGTCAGCACTGGTGGAGCTAGCATATCAAGGAAGGAGACGCGCAGCGTACAGTAATACAAGATCGTCAAGTAGATCTGCAGAAAGGCGGCAGCAGCCTTGCTCCCAGTCGCTTGATAGAACAATTCCAGACTCGGGAGGGAGGAATTCTGGACCGCGTCCATATCCTGGATGACACAGGTCATTGCGATGATCCAGGGCACAAGTGTCAATAGACCGATGAGGATGGTCAAATTGCTGGGGTTGAGTCAGTCACGCCAGGTTCTGCCTACTGCGAAAAGGAATTAGACCAACATCACTAGCGGAATCTTCCTGTTTGGTTGGGGTATTTCCTCTGCGATATGCACACAGGCCCCGGCAGCTGCAAAGGCATATTCACCATTGCCTATCCCGAGCAGCCACCCGGGTCCGGCCCCCCAGCCGCTGGTAGACCGGTACTCAGTAAGCCTTTCGGGATGGTATGACCCTCTTCCCATGACGAGACAGACGATGACCACCATCACGAACCCAGCTAAGGAAAGGAACATGGAAGATTCGGTCAAGCGGTCGATCTGGCGTTGAGGCACCAGGAATACCGGGAGCACTATATTTATTCAGATAAGCCGGTTCGTCCTTCTCCAGCTGAAGAATCCACGCCGACTTACATGTCAGTAATATCACCAACAGGTAGCAGAGATAGACCTGCCATTGCGTTCCCGAGAATTCTGGCACCAAAAAGGTACAAACCCCAAAGGCAGATATAGCTGTATAGATCGCGCCCGATGCCGTGTTCACCCACCAGGCTACAACATTGATCATCCCGACAGTGTATGCGACGAAGTTGCGGCAGGACTCCGGGGCAATGATGTAGGTGAAATGATATTGGCCCTGCAGTGAAAACGTAATTGTCAGGGTACCTCGTATTGCAATTGTAGCAGCTACTTACCCCCGAGGATGGGAAAGCTGAGGCCAACTCCGAGACCCCAGTAAGCACAATCCACTGCACCATGCCCGACAACAGCGGACTGAACACAGCAACAGAGCCTCCGCCATATGTGAAAGCCACTCCAAAGCAGGCGGCGAAGGTCAACCAGGAATTCACAATACTATCGACCGAATTAACAGCGGCTCAAGATAGAGGAGGGAGAAAGGACTGTACCTAAAAGCGAGACCCAGAGCACCAACCCAGGAGAACGAACGCTGGAGCTCGGATGTGCAGCCTTGAGCACGAAGAATGGCCTCATCAATATCAATGACCTCGCCTAAATCCTTCGCATCAGCCCCTTGCGGTGGCCTGGATGTGTTTTTGATAGTCTCTTCCATGATGTCGATGAGGGCACACAGCGACAGATGGGTAGATGGAAAGACGATGGAAAGGTTCAAGACAGCGAGTCAATTTAACCTCACGCCGGCGTGCGAGGAGAAGGGCGGGGGTTGCTTGCAATAGCCGATCCCTACGTAGTCTTCACCTCCATGCGTCCATCTAGCCCCGATTCTACCTTCCCTTCCCCCGCCTTGCGGCAAGCCAGTCAGGACGCCTGAAAGATAGCGTTCCACTCCTGTATGGAGCTAAACGTCTTGAAGATACCATTGATACCCGGAGATAAGGGGCTTTGATTGGGGTCCGGCCTCTCCCAGACATGATGGCTCCGGTGGCGGTGTATCAAACCGCTCAGCACAGAACGTAATAGGGTCGAATTACCCCGGAATGCGGAGAGGTAGGCAGCAAGCCTCCTCCCCTCTATCTTGGGGCTTGACTTTGGCATTGTTCCCTCGGATTTGCTTCCCATGTTTGCAGTGGTGGCCTAGTCTGGATTTTTGATTGCTCATATCAGGCCTCGGACGTGCATCCACCTGCCTAACTAGGAAGCTCGATGTCAATGATCAATGCAGATAACCCGTGCTTAGTAGATAGTTGAAGTTAGAAGACAATCTTTCCTTATACCTGGGTCTGAAGACGTTCTTGTGTGCAGCAATCCCATAGAGACGGCATGAGTATAGTCACAAATGGCCCCTGTCAGGAGTAGTTATTGCCTCATGAAACTGTGCCCCAGAACCGCCAGCTCTATTCTCTAATTGATATGGAGGCCTCTGTGGATACTTGACTTCTCTGGCTTAGCCAAGATTTTCTGCTTGTTTTCAAGTAGGACAACTGACAGTTCCTCTGTGATACTTCTTGAAAGCCCGGTGCACTTTCTAAAGGATAGTGCGGATCAGTTTGCAGGTACGCCGGCTTGGGTCTGCATGCAGAATATAAGTATCCTTAATACTACACTCAAATCTATCTCAGCTATAGCCTCGCACGCACATCACGGCACGCCTCCTCAATCAGATCCACCGTAGCCTGTGCGCAACCATAGGAGCACTGATATCCAGCCCCTCCGGCACCATAGTTGTGGACGACCCAAGTGCCATCGATTCGCTCTTTCGCAATTCGCACTCCACCCTCACGCACAGGTCTCAGTCCCACTCCATGCCTAATAATATCGAGATGCTCGATTCCCTTCCCGTTTGTCAGCGCTGGCACCATCTTGACGGCTCGCTTCATGATCCGGACAGCCAGGTTGGGGTCGGGCTGTGATTCCCAGCTCCCCAGCTGGTAGCAACCCCCAAGAATAGTGCCTCCCCCGGCGGCTCTCGTCATAACATAGCACGCTTCTCCGTCTCCGTCGTCCGTGCCTGACACGTCGAGCATCTTCCCTGCGTCGTTTCGCACAATCACGATCTGCCCGCGCGCGGGTACGACAGTCTTGTCCTCGACGCCACCCAGCTTCGTCGCCATCAACCCTGTGCAATTGACCACCACGTCAACTTTCCCGTCGGGATGGACCCCAGGCGCAGCAGCGTCCGAGACGTGGGGAAAGACAGCTCGCTTAAAGGTCACACCGTTCTTGAGGCACTGGGACACGAGCCAGGGAAGGTAAATGGCAGTGTTGATGCAGACCGAGGTGAAAACCGTGGCAGAGTCGATTCCGGGTCCCAGCGATTCTTTGGGCAGTGCTCGAAACTTTGCATCCCCGCTCGTCAGAATTGTGACTTATGAGCCAGGAGAGGCTGCATTGCGATATACAGGACTTACATTTGGAACTAACTTTGCAAACCATGGGCTAGGCGACAGCAGCTCCGCGAACCAGTTGGCCGTCGCGGTGCCTACGTCTTTCGCGCGGCTGTAAATCTCGCAGTCTGCGTTGGTATCAATATACTTTGACCGCAAGACCAAGGTTGTTCGCAATATGTGTTACCTTGAAAGTGCACACCGGCTTCGGGGTGGTTTTGGGCCAGATCCTGCAGTGGTCCCCAGGTGTTTTTGTCCCATTCGGCGGCTTCTGTATTGCGGATCGAAACACTAACAACTTCAGTTACTCTGGACTAAGGTGACGAAGGTTGATGCTGGGGTCCTACGGCATGTAATTCGCGCCGGCCCAAGGCGATGCGTATTCGATATCATAGTCTCCAGGCATATGTTTGGCGGCGACCACAATCTTGTAGCCAGGTCTCTTGGACAGTAGAAGAGCCGTGGTCAGCCCCGCCACGCCAGCCCTAAGTCAAGTTAAGTTTCTTTCCAAAAATGGAGAGGATAGATAACCGATGATGTGAGAACAAAAGAACATACCCAATGATTACCACATTCTCCTCGGACATTGAACACAGGAGATGCCTTCACGGGCTAATGGAAAAGCTCAGATTCGTACTATAGTGGGTCGGTTATTCGCCGTTGGTAAGAAGCTCCGCTGGGTGAGAATTCAAGTCTAATTTACATTCAAAGTGTTGGGGGGGAATACATCGGCTGTGGCACATTATTTCAATAACCCAGAGAGCTCAGGTTGGGATGTGGTCTGATGAGATTTTACTTACTCTCATCGCTCACATCCGCCCATCAGCTAACCTCCCCAGGTATTACCGGATAGAACTGTGCCTATCTTGGATACACAATCTTCTGGATGACACGGAGCGCGTTCTGAGCCGAGGCTGCCAGGGGCTACTTCCCCGGGCCCCATGCTGGTATTACCCAAATAGGCATGTGAGAAGCACGGCCACCTCGGCGATTGCCACACCAAACCCTACCCACCTGCGAAGTGACTTCTGATCATTTCCATCATAAAGCTCTATCTCTTGCCTCCAGAGGTATACTTAAAGCCCCTTACAACTCTGTACACTCAAGCATCATTCAGACAAAACACA